TCATTTAAATAAACAAAAAAGAAACTGATAACATTAATTGACAGTATAATCCAATATGTCTAAAATATTACTTCAATGTGTAGTAAATACAAAAATGTTACTAATCAGCTATTTTACATTCTGGGTTTTTTTCTTTTTAAAAAAAATTTTTTAATGTTTATTTATTTTTGAAGGAGAAAGAGAGAGAGATAGAGGTTGAGCTGGGGAGGGGCAGAGATAGAAGGAGATACAGAATCTGAAACAGGCTCCAGGCTCTGAGCTGTCGGCACAGAGCCCGGCATGGGGCTTGAACTTACAAGCCACGAGATCATGACCTGAGCTGAAGTCAGACACTTAACCAACTGAGGCACCCAGGTGCCCCTAAAAATTTTTTAAGTGTTTATTTATTTTTGAGAAAGAGGAAGAGTATGAGCAGGAGAGGGGCAGAGAGAGAGGGAGACACAGAATCCAAAGCAGCCTCCAGGCTCTGAGCTGTCAGCACAGAGCCTCATACAGGGCTCAAATTCACGAACCGCAAGATCATGACCTGAGCCAAAGTCAGCCACTCAGCCAAATGGACCATTCGGGCGCCCCATTCTGGATTTTTTTCTAAATTAGTCATTAAAATTCAATGTGTATTTTTTTTTCATGTTTTATTTATTTCTGAGAGAGAGAAAGAGGCAGTGTGAGCAGGGGAGGGTCAGAGAGAGAGACACACACACAGAATCTGAAACAGGCTCCAGGCTCTGAGCTGTCAGCACAGAGCCCGACGCCGGGCTCGAACCTATGAGTTGTGAGATCATGACCTAAGCTGAAGTCGGCCGCTTAACCGACTGAGCCACCCAGGCGCCCCTCAATGTATATTTTAAAAACAACTCAAGGGGCACCTCGATGGCTCAGTCGGTTAAGCAGCCAACTTCGGCTCAAGTCATGATCTTGCACAGTTCATGAGTTTGAGCCCCACGTCAGGCTCTGTGCTGACAGCTCAGAGCCTGGAGCCTGCTTCAGCTTCTGTGTCTCCTTCTCTCTCTGCTCCTCCCTGCTCACTCTCTGTCTCAAAAATAAACATTAAAAAAAAAAAAATCTCAATTCAAACCCCATTTCAAGTGCTCAGTGCCACATGGGGCAAGTGGTCGTTCTGTTGGTTAGTACAGCACTAGAGCAGTGCCTCTCAAATTTTAGGAGGCCTCAGAATCACCTGGAAGGCTTATGAAAATACAGGTGGCTGGGCCCCACCTGAAGAGATTCAGTGGGTCAAAGGTGGGGCCTAAAATTCTGTGTTTCTAGCAAGTTCCCTGAGGCTGTGGCTGCTGGTCCAGGAGGCACACTTTGAAAACCATTGTCCCAGGATGACTTTGAAAGGACCCGTAGTCATCATTTTGCCTTATTTTCAACTTATGAGTAATTTTTTTAAAAAATGTTTTAATGTTTGTTTATTTTTGAGAGAGAGAGACAGACAGAGAGGCAGAGTGTGAGCGTGGAAGGGGCAGAGAGAGAGGGAGACACGGAATCCGAAGCAGGCTCCAGGCTCTGAGCTGTCAGCAAAGAGCCCGACGTGGGGCTCGAACCCACAAACTGTTAGATCATGACCTGAGCTGAAGTGAGATGTTTAACCGACTAAGCCACACAGGTGCCCCAAGTTATGGGTAATTTTTCTTAACACCCCTGAGGCTGGTGCGGGGTTAGGGGGTACAGTGTGGTAGTAGCAGGCTCCCTGGAGGTGTTTGCATTGGCTCGGCCCTGGCTGGCTGGGAGCAGCCTCACGGACTACCATTGGCAGCAGGTGAGGTTCAGCAGCTCTACCGTTGCTGGCATGGACTGTGTGCGGCTCTGAGCTAGAAGTCCAGGGAGGGAGGGGAAAGGAGACTGACCCTCAGCACCCCCAGCGAGGGCCCAGGTCTTGTGTGGCTGCTTCCCCCTCAACACCACTCTGCAGGTAATGCCAACTAGGCTTAGAGATAGAGAAGCTCTGGGGCTCTGAGGGAAGGGCAGTCCCTGAACCTAGAATGGCCAGAAAAGACTGGCCAGACAGGGAGTGGGGACTGGCATAGACCCAAAGGTCTATGACTTATTTCTGGAAGTGAGTTATCCCGGGAAGAGAAAGGTTGGGAAGACATGCTGAGCAAGGACTGGGGAAGGGCTGAGGGGGCTCCTTGAGGAGACAGAGGGGACGGAACCTTGCAGGAAGCGGCAATGAGGCCTTGGGAGGTCAGAAATCAAGGATGTCCCAGAGGCTGTCCCTGGAAGGTGCGTCAGCAGCCATCATTTGCTACTCTCCTGGTTCTCCCGGTGGATGGAGATGGATGTTAGAGATGCAGGATCCACCCCAGAGCCCACATCTCTGGCCCTATCTCAAGAACCCTTCCTCTGGGGGCGCTTGGGGGGCGCAGTTAAAGCGTCTGATTCTTGCTCTTGGCTCAGGTCATGATCTCACAGTTTGTGAGTTCACGCCCCGCATCGGGCTCTGCGCTGATGGTGCAGAGCCTGCTTGGGATTCAGTCTCCTTCTCTCTGCCCCTCCACCACTTGTCTCTCTCTCCCTCCACCCCGAAGTATATAAACTTAAAAATAAAATAAAATAAAATAACCCCTCCTCTGGATTCTATAGGTTTGGGAGTGGGGTTGGGTGCAGCAGGTATATAAGGGAAGTGCATGTCACCTCTGGGACACTCCCACACCTGCACCGTCAGTGATATCCAAGGGCTAGCACTCACCCCTTCACCCCTTTAGGACAGGGACTGTTCCTTTCCTGGTGTTTCCCCTCCTTCTAGCACCCTGTACAGGTCTGAGCACGTGGATATGGAATTTGGAAGAAGTGATCTGCACCATGTGTGAGGAGGGCGTCTATGCTTTATGTCATGGAAATGTGGGGTGTGCATAGGGTGATTACTATGAGCAAGGGGGGTCTGCACGATGGGGTGTGTTACAGGGACATAGGGAACCATTACCATGGCAGATAGTGTGAGATCAATGGAGTGTCTGTACTGTGCAGAAACGCTGTTTGGGAGCATTGGGGGTGACCTAATGGGGTACATGGGGTATCTACACTGGGGCGACTACTGCTTGGGGGCGTGTGTGCACGCAGCGTATCCTGTAGGGGTGAATGTGGGGTGTCTACATGGCGGGTGTGCATTGTTCGGGGTCATAGGAGGTATCTGCATCTCAGAATGCCCCGCAGGGGCGTACGGAAAGTCTACACTACGTGAGACTATTTGGGGAGGTATTCACTGTGGATGGAAATGTGTGCTGATGTAATGACCCAATGAAAGGGAAATGAAGGAGTTCCCAGAAGGGTATTCACTGGGTGGGGGAATGTGACAGGTGGTAAGGTGTCAGCAGTGTGGACAGAGGAAGGGCCTGGGGATAGGTACAACTCCAGATAAATGGTGCCAACTCCCAATGAGTGGCTGGCTCTTGGGACACCTATGTTTCAAGGGCAATGCCCACCCCCACCAGCACTTGGGGACTTCCTCTTTGAGGACTAGCTCTTAGAACCTATAATAATCTTCCTCTGAATGTGAAGTTCATGCTTCAGAGTTGGAGGCAACTCTAAGGATTTAAGTGGATATTCAGATTTAGGGGTCAAAACCAGGGGTTTGGGTGGTACAATGAGACAGTGCACTGGCAGAACCCACGGAATGGCCCAGGAGGCGGGCTACATGCCAGGAACCCAACCCCCGCAGACGTTAGCCCTGCAAGCTGTGGTTTGTAAAGGGCATCTCCCCAGATGCTCACAGGACCCTGCACAGGCTAGGGCAGACATTGAAGTCATTCTGAGTCCAGTAACAGCACCAATCCAGGGCGTTATCCTTGATTACCTCACTGGTGGGTGGAAAAGCCGAGGCCCCACCATCCTAGCCAACTGCCTGGAAGGACCAGAGGACGAACTTCTCATGTGTTTGTCTAAAAATCAGTGTCATCAATGCACACACTGTGCTTTTTTTCCCAACTGCCATATATGAAAAAGAAGGTATTCATTGTATATCTGTACGGCGTTTCTGACAGGCACACTGCGGTGTGTGATGGATATAGGCTCTGTCTGATGAGGTTTTTGCTCAGTGTATAACAGATGTAGAACATGTGCAAGGGAGATCTGTTTGGGGGGTGTGTGTGCTGTGGCAGAGAGTCTGCTATGTGTGAGCGAGATCTGTGTGCAAGAGGGATTTGTTGGGGGGCGCATCTGCTGTGAAGGAGGAAGGGTGATCTGCTTCCTATATGTGATGACTGTACAGCGTTTGCAATGACTGTATTTTGGGTAATCATACAACACAAAGTGGTATATTAATATACACTCTCATATTCTTTCTGTGCACCTACTGTTCAGGATGGACATACACTGTATATGATGGGTATAGGAGTAGTGGATCATATATGTATGATGGCTAAAGGCTGTATGTGGAATATTATACGTGTTCTGTGAAGGATACCCTGAGTATAGTGGGTATACACTCTGTGCGAAGGCCATATTTTGTAATAGTATATAAAGCATATACAGCATATATAATGGATGTATTATCATGAGTATACATTGTGTGTGTGATAGTGTACTCGGGAGGAGGGATGTGCTGTGTGATGTGTATGCACTGTTATGTGTGATGCACATACGGTATGACAAATATACATGGTGTGGGATAAGTTTACAGCTAAGTGTGAGCACATACTACATGTGGCATATACGTTGTGGAGCGGGTATAATTCATGAGTAACGGGTATATATCATATATAATGGACATATTTGGATGGGTGTGATGAGTATGTACTTTGTGAGATAAATAAGCACTGTGTCATCCTACACTGGGGGCGGGGGGGTGGACAGTCTGTGTTGTGAATTAATTGCTGGGAAAGGTCTACTTGGTACGTATCAGGCCCTCTGTACATATGCAGCTTGTGGTGGGAATATGGGCTGCGTGAGCAGGCAGAGGGGAGTCACCCTCCCTCCCACAGAAGGGAACAGTCGGATCTTCCTCCATTTCCAGACCCCCTACCTCAGCCCTTGAGCCCACCTACCACACACTGTTTCAGGTTCTTCCTCAAGTTCTTCCTCAAGTGCAACCAGAACTGCCTGAAGAATGCAGGGAATCCCCGAGACATGCGTCGCTTCCAGGTGGGTCTGGGAGAGGGGTCCCCTTGCATCAGGTCACCCTTTCCCAGTGGGGTGGGTGGGGAAGGCTGTGGTCCCACCACCCTGGGAAAAGCCCCAAGGCAGATCTTTGCCCAGCCCTGTGCTGGGGGTGGGGCAGCTCCATCTCAACTTATGCTGGCTGCCAAGGGAGGCTTCATTAGAGTCCCACTTAAGGAGATGCTAATTGTGACATTTTTACATGATTAACGACCCAGCTAATTTGCATAGCGTGAAGCAGAGAGCAGCTGCCCTTAGTACATCCCCAACCTGCACACCCTTCTCAGTGAAGGGTGGGAGGGAGAGAAGGAGGCAGCCCCAATTTCCTCCCAGGGGTAGGGGCTCCTGCTGATGGCTTCTCAGGTTGATGCTGCTCCCTCCCCCCCCCCCCATCAAAACTCTCATTCCCACTAGCCTAAGACACATTCCTGCCTTGGAGCTCCAGAGATCCAGCCTGGGGTGCGGATGTGCGTGAGAACAGTAGGCACTCTGCCTAAGAAGCCAGAGTTTCTTTCAGCGCTCTGGATTTTTCTAGTTCCTGGGGTTCACCTCCCTGGGCAGCCAGAGATAGTGTGTCTGGGTGCATCGCTTGACCTAGCTGCCTCCCCCTTCCACCGGTTCAGCCCCTGGGGGAAGCTCTTTCCCAAGGCCCATGACTCTAAGTTCCGGCATCCAGCCACCCTCACCAAGTTGCTGGTCCCCCACAACAGCCCCCCCCCCCCAGGAAGTCCCCCGGAGCCTCAACCAGGCTGGCCTCGGCTCTCCTCACAGGTGGTGGTGTCCACGACGGTGAGCGTAGATGGACATGTGCTGGCCGTGTCTGACAACATGTTTGTGCACAACAACTCCAAGCACGGTCGCAGGGCGCGCCGTCTGGACCCCTCTGAAGGTCAGGACCCCCCGCCCAGCACCCGCCGCCGCGGGCCCAGCCAGCCCCCCTCCCCCGTCCCCACCTTGGTGCAGGCCCCTGACCTGGCTCCTCACCTGCCTCCCAGCTGCCACCCCCTGTATCAAGGCCATCAGCCCCGGGGAGGGCTGGACCACAGGAGGCGCCACCGTCATTGTCATCGGCGACAACTTCTTCGATGGATTGCAGGTCGTGTTCGGGAACGTGCTCGTGTGGAGCGAGGTGGGCCACCCCCGCCAGTCTCCCTCCTGGCCTCTCGGCTGGGCCCGCCCCTCGCCCTGGGCTGGAACCCGCTGGCCTCCCCTCTCCCCTCGCAGCTCATCACGCCCCACGCCATACGGGTTCAGACGCCCCCGCGGCACATTCCCGGGGTGGTGGAGGTGACCCTGTCCTACAAGTCCAAGCAGTTTTGCAAGGGAGCCCCCGGCCGGTTTGTCTACACAGGTAAGGAGACAGGCGAGGGGGGCGGTGCGGGAGGGGGCAGAGAGGCCTAGGGTTGCTGCAAGGAGCTCCACGCTGTGCACCAGAGCCCGGTCCGGTTAGCCAACACCTACGCTGTGGCCACGCCCCCTAAGCCGTTGCTCCGCCTCTTCCCCACCTAAACTGGCCGCTCTTGAGCTCTTGAGCTGTACTGTCTTTTGCCGAGCTTCGGTTTCCCTGTTTGGCCTAGGTCCCCTCAGTCGCCTCCCAGGCTCAGAGTCTCAGCCCTGCCGGACCATTCTCCCTGCCGAGGGCCTCGTCGCCAGAGCACCCCCACCCCCTCCACACACACACACACACACACACACACACACACACACACATTCCCCAAGGTCTAGAATATCTCCAGCGGCAAGTTTATTTCAAAGGTGCCCAAAATAGGCTCGATGCTCCCGAATCTTCCCTGGGGTCTCTTGGTTCCCCAAGCCGCCTCAGTCTTCACTCCACGTGGGCATAAGCAGGTGCGCACGCCCGCTTCCCGTCCCCTCCCACCCCAACACACCCCTTGCAGGAAGCAAGGGCGAGAAGTTAACACAAGACAGGAGTGTAGAATCCCGCGTCCTGGCTCTATTTGATTACCCGCCAGGACCCTCTCCGCCTTCATTCTCCTGCCCTCTCCCAGCCACGCACTTCTCTCCATCCTCCTCCCCGCAAATAATCACCTAACCCTTCCCAGCACCGGATGTGGATACTCGGTAGCGCGCTACCTATATCAGGGAGTTACAGTCTTAAAGGGGTAGGGGTGACCCTAGCAGTGAACAAAGTATGAGGTGAGTGGAGTTACACGCGGAGGAGTGGGGGAGGGGACCTCTAGGAGGGAGTGTGAGCTTGATTGGACCAGGCTGAGCCTGGAGGGGTGAATAGGGAGGTAGAGAGGGGGAAGAAAAGGCAAATGCTAAGACCTGGGAATGAGCGCTTTACATCCTGGAGGGAACTAAAGGAAATTCACCAAATCTGGAGTTGGAGGTGAAGAAAGTGGGTAGGGCCTTGAGGCTGGTGAGTTGGTCCTGGCCAGGCCAGGAGGAGGAGAGGAGGAAGTCCTGGGGAGCCTAGTTTGGAGGCTGCTGCCTCCTCTGCAGAGCCCTGGATGTGGGCCAGTCCCTTCCCCAGGGCACACGCACACTTTAATGGTCAGATGCTGCCGAGAATCCACCTGAGCTGTGATAAATGGAGATTGTTGGTTTTTTGTTTTGGGGTTTGTTTGTTTGGTAATTAATATGTTACTCCTGATAATGGAGACAGAAAACTCTCCCTCTAGTCCTGCCCCTGTAGAAGCTATTACGAACATGCCTTTTTTCGAATCACAGATGGATGGTAGAGTGCTTGTGTGTTAATGCCAAGCACTGGCACGGGGCCCGGCTCAGTAAATATTTGTTGAATGAATGAGCAAAGGAAGGAACTGAGGAAACTCCGCGAACCGAACCTCGCCGACCCGTGTGCCCGGAGTATTACGAGGGGTTTAAGCCGGGCTCGTGGAGAGGAGGGGGTCTGCACCGAGGGTCCCGGGCTAGTTGCTGGTGGGCTTGGTCCTGCGGCGGGCGCTGGAAGGGGGTCCTCCAAACGCTGCCCCTCTCCCCAGCCCTGAATGAGCCCACCATTGACTACGGATTCCAGAGGCTACAGAAAGCCATCCCCAGACACCCCGGAGATCCTGAGAGGCTGCCCAAGGTACGCAGCGGGGCGCAGCAGACCCGGGACCGGAGTGTCCTGCGGCCCCAGGGGCGGGAGTGGGTGGGCGGAGGGGACGCCCCGCCCCTCCGCCGCTCCGCGGGGCTGTCCCTCCGTCCGGCTGTCTCCTCCCCCGCCCCCAGGAGGTGCTGTTGAAGCGGGCGGCCGACTTGGCGGAGGCCCTGTACGGAGTGCCCAGCAGTAACCAGGTATGGCGCTTCCGCCCGCCTCCTCGCGCCGCCAGGCCAGGGACTGTCCCCCTCCCGGCGCCTGCGGCTGCCCCGGCCGTGCCCCGCTCTTGTCTTCGCAGGAGCTCCTCCTGAAGCGCGCGGCGGACGTGGCCGAGGCTCTGTACAGCGCCCCCCGCGCGCCCGCGCCGCTCGGACCCCTGGCCCCGAGCCACCCACACCCCGCCGTCGTGGGCATCAACGCCTTCAGCAGCCCGCTGGCCATCGCCGTCGGGGACGCCACGCCGGGCCCGGAGCCGGGTGCGTCCCGCCGCCCCTGAGCGCGGCCCGGGGCCCCCGTCCGCGCGGCGCCGCTGACAGTCCTCTCTCGCAGGCTACGCGCGCAGCTGCAGCAGCGCGTCCCCGCGCGGGTTCGCGCCCAGCCCCGGCTCGCAGCAGAGCAGCTATGGCAGCGGCCTCGGCTCTGGCCTCGGCAGCTACGGGGCGCCGGGCGTGGCCGGCCTCGGAGTGCCCGGATCCCCTAGCTTCCTCAATGGCTCCACGGCCACCTCACCCTTCGCCAGTGAGTGTCCCCTGCCCGGGGAGCTGCATGGGGCTCAGCCCTGCCCCCTCCCATCCCCAGGGGGGGTGAGGATTTTCCGGCGACTGTCGGTCCTTGTGAGCCAGGCCAGCAGTCTCTGCGTGTGACTTGTTTCTGCAGTGGGACGCCTGCCCCTCGACCCCACCCCTTGGCTGCACAGGGCCCGGGGCAGTTCTCACACCTTTATTCTTTGCGGATTCCAGTTACACACATCGCTTCTAGCCCTCCCCTCCTCCTGAAAGGGGCTTTACCGGGGCGGGGGGGATGGTAAGGACATCCAGCTGAAACCTGGCGGACTGCCACCTTTCCACCTTATACCGGGACTTTGGGGGGAGGCTGGCGCCCCCTGCCGGAGGTCCTAGGGAACTAATGGCTCAACCAAAATGGGCTTCTAGCTGTCCTCTGGGGTTCCCAGGGGTCAGAGGAGGGGTCAGAGGAGGCTCCCTGCAATCCTGTTGAGAAGAGTAGGCGAATTGTGTGGTCAGACAGATGGATACAGGGTTTGAAAGCCCAAATCAGGAGCTGTCTGACATTCAACAGGCTACCTCATTTCTTTCAACTTGTTTCCTCTCTGTAAAATGGGATCAGTATCACCCCTGCTAAGGGTCTGTTCTCAGATCTAAATGTGCCACGTGCATGAAGTGCCCAGACACAATTTAGAAAGAGTGTATGATTTCCCATCCTGGTACTACTTTTTCTGGCTGTGGGTTTGAGCCTGACTCCCCTTGTGGCCTGGGCTCAGCTTCTGGGACCCGAGCCCCATATGCCTGTGTTTACACAGGCTATGAACCTCTGCTGTCCCTATTAAGACCCCTGTCTTTCCTGGCTCTCTGCTCAGGCCAGGCTCCACCTCTCCCACTTCCTTCAGATCTGGGACAGCATTCTTACAATGCTCTGAGTGTCCTTTGAATTTTAGATTGGTGAGATCTGGAACACCGGCCCTTCCCCTCCACCATACTCACAGTGCAGTCAGCAGTGGGGACCCTGGCCCCGTGGGCAGAAGCCACCCCATATGGGTTTCCCTCCAATCAGCCAGAGGATCAAGAATTCTAGAGCCGCTTAACCTCTGCTTCCGGTATTAGCTGGGGACTTGCCTAAGGGTGGGTCCCATCTGGTGACCAGTGCTAACCCATGTCCCCATCCACTCCCAGTGCCATGTGGCACAGCTCTGGGGAGTATTTCATTGAGTGTGCCAGGACGTGCCTGGAATGACATCCAGAACTGCCCCGGCCAGACGGTCTGGGGGCTGTCTGCTTGGGCCCCGCCTTGGTCTTCTGCTTTGGCCACCAGCAACTCCCAGTTTGACCCACAGATCCCAGTACTACCCAGACCACAATATGTGGCTGTAAGCTCCCAGCCTTGAGAGGTACAGTACGTTTTTTGGCATTCATCTCAGGCCCTCCGTGGAGCTCATGGGCCTCATCAGCCAGCAGTGAGCGTTGTCTTACAGAGATGGTGATCCATTTGGAACAGCGGCAGGCATCACTTTATCAAAAGGGGAGTGGAGGCGTGCTCAGATGCTACAGGCAGCCTTCTCAAGCTATTGGTTTCTTTCAGGAAGCCCCCACCCCAACCCCATGCCAGCCGCTTGGACAACACTCAAATCACAGCCTTATTGGTGTTCAGAAGGGAGAGGCAGGGAGTCAAGTTCAGATGAGGATGTAGAAAGGGGTACCAGAGATGAACCTCCAGGAGAGGAGGCTGCAGAAAGGAGGGGCAGACAAAGCCTGTGTGCAGGAGGCTCCTGGGCTATTCCCAGGTGAACAGGCCACGGCCCTGGATGGCCAGGAGGTTGAGAACCAGAAGATCCAAGGATGTGGATCTCTGTGTTTTTGTTTAAAATTGACTCGTTGGAGGAGGGGGATATAGCAGGCCTCCAGGCCCCAGGCCGGAGATGACAAGGACTTGCCTTAAGTCGAAAGAGAACAAAGTGTCTTGTGGGGGCAGCGGGAGGGGTTGGTAAGGGAAATGTGTGTAGAGAAAGTTAGCTTAAATTGTGAGCTGAGATCCTGGGCAGAGGAGCCGTGTAACAGGAACCTGTGTGTACCTCCAAACTTCATCCCTGACAGTTGTCCCAGCTCTGCTGTGAACCTGGATCTTTGACTCTAACCTTGGTACCCCAACGTCCATGAGTGTTTCTTAGCATCTCAGAATCCCAGTGGCTTTTAGCAGGAACCCTGACCTATTCTATTCCACCTCTTCCTCCTCATTCATCTTTGGGGGCGCCTCCCAATACTTGATGTTGTCGAGTGTGCTGGTTTTGCTTTTATTTTAACCTAGTCTGGCCCTGTCATTTACAGCCCCGAGAAGAGATCTCTAGAACCCCCAGAGAGGCGAGTGTTAGCCCAGGACCCCAGAGACACCTAGCCTACCTTCAGACCCTGCCCTATACTGGTCTCCCCACGACCCTCACAGCCCCCCAGTAAGGTCTGAGCCTGGTGCCTGGGTCAGCAGCCCACGTGGGGCCCACGGCCCATGCCCCAACCGAGCTGCTCACTCTGGTGCTATCTCCCTGTTGTGTCTCCCACCACCTTCCCTGCTGCGCCTGCCCCTCCCCGCCCCGCCCCGGAGTCATGCCCTCTAGCCCCCCGCTGGCCGCTGCCTCCTCCATGTCCCTCCCGGCCGCTGCCCCCACCACCAGCGTCTTCTCCTTCTCGCCTGTCAACATGATCTCCGCTGTCAAACAGAGGAGCGCCTTCGCCCCCGTGCTGCGCCCATCCAGCTCCCCGCCCCAGGCCTGCCCCAGAGCCCACGGAGAGGGGCTTCCAGGTGGGTGGTCCATGCTGCCCCACTATGGCCTAGTGCAGCAGCGGGGGGATTTCGGGGGCTCACTCCATCCACATCTCAGCAGAGCCTCATGCTGGTGGGCCAGTTTTCCCTGGAGCGCGTGGAGAAGGGAGCTCTCCAGGGGTCCCCGGAGGCCCATAGGGAACCCACTTCCCTGGGCCTCATAGCTTGGGGTGGTCACCACTCTGATTACCGTCAATTGGCCAAGTGGTCAATGAGAAGACTCGAATCTCACAGTTAGAAAGGTCTGGAAACCACTCCCATTCCCCCCCACCCGGTTGAGCCCAGAACAAAGGACCCAACACTCAGCACCGGAGAAAACCCCCACGCGCTCAAGCCTTTGACCTAGGTCTCCCGGTGTCCACGAGAGGAGAGCACACACCACTGGGAGAAACTGGGTCACTGGTGGGACGGAAGGGGACTGACCTTAAATATGGTTTGGCCCAGCCTTCCCCTGCCCCATTTTACAGATGTAGAATTGAGACTATGTCACCCCTCCCACGTGCCATTTGTGAAATGGTTGTCAACTGTCATGTTTCAATCTCCTTCAAGTCCACATCCAACTTAACAATGCCTGGGCCCTAACCAGTAGTGTATAGTGAGTTAGGAAGAGTCATAGTCCCTAGAATCAGATGACCTTTAGCATAGGCTCATAAGATAATGCTCTAGGATGATTTCAAAGGGCACAGACTTTTTAAGTTTACTTTGGGAGAGAGAGAGAGCACACACAAGCTGGGGAGGGGCAGAAAGAGGAGAAAAGAATCTCAAGCAGGCTCCACGCTGATAGCACAGAGCCAGACTCAGGGCTCGAACTCACGAACCATGAGATCATAACCCGAGCTGAAGTCAAGAGTTGGACGCCTAGCCAACTGAGCCACCCAGGCGCCTCTAGATAATTTGTCTTAACCTAAGTGTGACTGGAGCTTAAAATGCGAGGGTTGGGGAGCAGAGGGCCACTGGTGTCTCCTATTAGCAGAGAGAACGCAGAGGGCAGGGGGTTAGGCAGGGGAGAGGGTGACAGAAGTGATGAATTTTGTGGGCATATTAGGGGTCAGTGATCCAGGAGGCTGACTTCGTTCCTGAGCTGGCACTCTGGAGGAAGCAGGGCTGGGAAGAGGAGCCCAGAGTCCTCTCTTTGGATTGAGGAAGTTAGGCAAGCGGGGGGCTTGGGCTGCACCCGTCTGCAGTGCTGACCCCAGGCCAGGACTAGGAGCTACCAAATCCCTCCGAGGCTCCCCACAGCTCTGCCCTCAGAAAGCGCTGATGTCCTACATGCTGTCCCCTGCCCAGAGGCACACAGGCAGATACGGCGCCCAGGCCACACAGAGTTTACAATTCTCTTTGCTTATGACAGACCAGCCTTTTGAAGATTCCGACAAGTTCCACTCTTCAGCCCGGGGGCTTCAGGGCCTGGCCTACTCCTAATCACGGTAGGTCTCTGGCTCCGTCTTGCTTCCTCTTTTGGCCCTAGATAGACTCTGTGTCCAAAAGACCTGGGGTCCGAGTCTCCCCCTTCCAGGGCCCATCTAGACAGCTATCGGGGCCACACAGCCCCACCCCAGTGGCCGAAGCTGAACAGGTGGAGAGATGTGGTTTCCGATCCCCTGGCAGCCAGCCTTTCTCCAGCACCTTCTTCTCTCCCTCTCCCCTCTAGGTCTGCAGGTGTTGCCCCCACCGAGCCCGGACTGGAGGTCCCTCTGGGAGTCACGCTCATGTCCCGGATGGCAGACAGATGCAGAACCTGGGCTTCGGGCAGACGTCAACCCAGGGGCCGGAACAGGCCTCCCTGTGCTTCAGGCCTCCGGCCCCACGGGCTTCTCTCACCTCCCGTTCATGGGGCCGGTTGAAGCCCTGGCACTGTGCTGACGCTCTTGGCAGGAGAGCATCCCGAGGCACTGGGATGCTGGGCCTTACTGGGTCGGTTTCTCTGGAAGAGATGGACCTTGTGCAGACCAGACCATCAGGTGGCAGGCGCAGGGGGTGGGGACTGTGGGAAAGAAGACAGCTCAGGGAGAGGTCCTGTTTGTGTCTGACCCATCACAACGGGCCCAGCATCCCAACTTCTCTCCGGGGCACAGGGTGGTGCCCGGCAGCCTCAGGAGGCCTGCCCAGGCTCCCATGGAGCTCACAATGGCTGCTTGCCCCCCCTACCCCGCGGCTGCCCCCTCTGAGGCCTGCACACTCATGCTTGCCACATTACAAATCCCACTGGGGGCTTTCGGCATCGAGCGTGCAGAAGAGGGAGTGCCAAGGCCCCCGAATGTGGGTCTTCCTCCCAGCGGCTATCCCGTGGACTCTGGCCCCACACACACATGACTCTGGCTGGCCCCCTAGCACCATGGAATGGGCCTAGCGACCACCGGCCTCATATTCTGCTCTGCTGAGGTTGGAGAAAACAGAACAATAAACACAGATGCAGGTGGCCGCCCGGCCTCTCTTGCCTGCTTCCTTGGCGTGGGTCTGCTTTTCTCAGTGGTTGTGCAGCTCTCCTGGCCCCCCACGCCCCCCACCCCACCCTGCCAACCGTGCCCCTGTGCAGCCTTCTTGAACCTTGGGCTTTTTCAACAGCCCCAGAGTTCAACTGGGCAACCCATGTCTGCACTCAGCTCTTGTTGGTGGGGGTGGGGGGCAGGCTAACGGGCCTGAGGACTTAGGACATGGGCTCCGCCCCAAGAGCTTAGGCGAGGAGCGTAGTCTGGCCAGTGAAGACTCAGTATCCCCCCAGCTGTCTGGCCAGTACCAAGGCAGGGGTTGTCAGAGGGCTTCCTGGGAACCAGAACAGAGCAACCCAAACACGGGTCCGTTGTACCAAGGTCAGGAGTGAGACTCATTGTGAATGGAGGGTTCAGGGCCTCATGGGGGAAAGGGCAGGGTAGGGCGGCTTTTGGTCCTGAAGTTGAGTATTTGAGCAAGTCCCCACCACCCCCTTCCCCAAGCCTAGGCACCCTTGGCTCTCCTATCTCAGAGTCTGGGAGGAGGGATAGTAAATCAGGAAGATTGCCAGGCTCATCTACCCCTCCTAGGATGAATTCCCGCCATTCCCTGAGATGTGTCCCCTAGATCCCAAAGGTCTAGCTATCTGATGCTGTGTGGATCCCAGCATCCAGCTCCAGGCCTCAGGCCTTACTCTCTTCATGGTTGTCCTTGGCTCTGGCCTCTAGAAAGTCTGCCCTTCCCCAGCCTGTGGGCCCACCCCCTGCAGTCTTCTGGACAAACACTCGCTAAGGCAGATGGGATGCCCGTGGCATTCAGAGACCTTCATTCACTCCCTCCTCTTGTGTTCTTGGCCAATAGCTGGGATTCATCTCACATGGGGCCCACGACAGGGGTAGCCCTCTGGTCATCGCAGTGCTCACCTGGCCTCCCCCTCACTTCCTGCCCCCAGCCCGTGTTTGCAGAACCCAAAGCCTGCCAGCCTACACCCTGCTCCAATCAGACTCTGAGCAGCTCTCACTGCCCCGGGACCCTCGCAGGCTGGACACCTGCAGAACTGTAATCTGCACGGGACAAAGGTGGCATCTGGATAGTGGTCACACTCTGGGTCCGTGGTTGATAAAAATGACATGTGTTATCTGGCCTCAAAGATCTCAACACTGTGCTCAGGCCACCATCCAAGTCACACACTGCCCACTCCCTCATCTGTAGGAGGCAGTTCTAAATCAATGATGCTTTTTGCCTTGGACTGAATTGTGTCCTTCCAAAGTTCATACACTGAAGCCCTAATCCCTCCTTCCACTGATGCATTTGTAGGTAGGGCCTTTAAGGAAGTGATTAAGGTTAAATAAGGTTTTTTTTTTTTAATGTTTTTTATTTATTTCTAGGAGAGAGAGAGAGAGAGAGAGAGAGAGACAGTGTGAGCAGGGGAGGGTCAGAGAGAGAGGGAGTCACAGACTCTGAAACAGGCTCCAGGCTCTGAGCTGGCAGTCAGCACAGAGCCCGACGCGGGCCTCGAACCCACGAACCACGAGATCATGACCTAAGCGAAAGTCGGACGCTTAACCGACTAAGCCACCCAGGCGCCCCAAGGTTAAATAAGGTTTTAAGTGGAGCCCTAACCTGAGAGAATTGGCGTCCTTGTACGAAGAGGAAGAGACTCCAGAGTTCTCTCTCCACCAGGTAAGGACACAGTGAGGTATCCACCCACAAGCCACAAAGGGAGTCCTCTCCAGGAATGAAAATCAGCTGACCCCTTTATCTGGGACTTCTAACTTGCAGAACTATGAGAAAATATATTTCTGTTGTTTAAGCCACTCAGTCTATGGCATTTTGTTATGGCGGCCCCCAGCTAATATAATGTTCTTTCCCACATGTCTTAGTTTGGGCTCCCCTAGAAGCAGAGCCTAAGACAAGTTCCCTGCTGGAGAATTCTGGAAGACAGTGTAGAACACACCTCAGAGCTTTCCCACCTGAGTGGCAGAGTCTGGGACATTGATCTGTTAGCCCTTCTGTGCAATTGCCTGAGGCCTGCTCCCAGGAGGTTACCTTCGGGCACCTCTGGCCTGTCTTCCCACCTGCACAGAAAACCCCCCAGTTAGGCTTTGACTGTAGGATGTTGCGAACAGGTGAAACCCAACTATAAATCAGAAGGGATACGGGCAAGCCACCAACAGCCCCTGCTGCTAGCCCCTTAGAGAAGGAGCATCTCCAGAAAGTTCTCTGCCTTCATGCCACCTCTATTTCCTGGCAGAACCCGGCTGCTGTGTTCTACATCCTACCTTGTGGGTCCGACAACCTTTAGGGCTGCATTTAGCTCAGACAGGACCCACTGTGGACAGGCTTCCCTGACTCAAGCGAAGCGAGGCAGCAACTTTGACCAGCCCTATTCCTGACTGTTGCAAAATGCCCTTCTCCCCACCTGTACCTATAGTGGTGGGGCCGTTCTTCTTCCAGAAAGAAAAATCACCCAGAAAAATGAGAAGTGCCATGCACTGGGGAAAAGATAGTCTTTTCAATAAATGACATGGAGTCCATTGGATATTCACGTGAAAAAAATTAAACTTGATCTCTGCCTCACACCATACACAAAAGTCAATTCTAGGTGGCTTCTGGATCCAAATGTGAAAGCTAAAACAATAAAGCTTTGTGCCCTTGAAGATGGACTAGACTTTTGCCAGAGAAACCTCTAAGTTACTCTGTAAGACCTCTCTAAGGTCTGTTTTCCCACTGCATGATCAATTTTATTTTACTATTATTTTTTTAAAGATTTTATTTTTTTAAGGAATCTCTACACTCAATGTGGGGCTCGAACTCACAACCCCAAGATCAAGAGTCTCATGCTCTTCCAACAGACCCAGCCAGACACCCCTCTTTGTGAGATTTTTAATGACCAGAACTTCTTAACTGAATGTAGCGTAAGTTATCAATCTTTTCTTTGTGGTTGTTTTTTGGTGGGTTTTTTTTGTTTTTTTTTTTAGAGAGAGAGAGCATGAAACATGAACTGGGGAGGGGCAGAGAGAGAGAGAGAGAGAGGGAGAAAGAGGGGGGGAGAGAGAGAGAGAGAGAGAGAGAAAGAGAATCTTTACTTTTATTTTTATTTTTTTTAATTTTTTTAAATGTTTTTTTATTTATTTCTAGGAGAGAGAGAGACAGCGTGAGCAGGGGAGGGTCAGAGAGAGAGGGAGTCACAGACTGAAACAGGCTCCAGGTTCTGAGCTGGCAGTCAGCACATAGCCCGACGCGGGGCTCGAACCCACGAGCCGCGAGATCATGACCTAAGCGAAAGTCGGACGTTTAACCGACTAAGCCACCCAGGCGCCCCGAGAATCTTTATTTTTTAAAAAATATTTTTATTTATTTCTAGGAGAGAGAGAGAGACAGAGTGAACAGGGGAGGGTCAGAGAGAGAGGGAGGCACAGACTCTGAAACAGCCTCGAGGCTCTGAGCTGGCAGTCAGCAAAGAGCCCGACGCGGGGCTCGAACCCACGAACCGCGAGATCATCACCTAAGCGAAAGTCGGACACTTAACCGACTAAGCCACCCAGGCGCCCCGAGAATCTTAAGCAGGCTCCATACTCAGCATGAAACCCGACTCAGGGCTTGATCTCATGGTTCATGGGATTAAGCCCTGGGTGGGGCTATGTGCTGACAGTGCAGAGCCTGCTTGGGATTCTCTCTCTCCCTCTCTCTCTGCTCCTCCCCACCTCTCAAATAAACACTGGAGAGAAAAAAAAAAAAAAAAGAGTTGGATGCTCAACTGACTGAGCCACGTAGGTGTCCCTAGTTCTTGTATCCTTTTAAGAAATCTTTTCCAGGGTGCCTGGGTGGCTTAGTCGGTTAAGCGTCCGACTTTCGCTTAGGTCATGATCTCGCGGTTCGTGGGTTCAGGCCCCGTGTCGGGCTCTGTGCTGACTGCCGGCTCAGAACCTGGAGCCTGTTTCAGTCTGTGACTCCCTCTCTCTCTGACCTTCCCCTGCTCATGCTGTCTCTCTCTCTCTCCTGCTCATGCTGTCTCTCTCTCTCTCTCTCTCTCCTAGAAATAAATAAAACATTAAAAAAAAAAAAGAAAGAAATCTTTGCCTACCCCCAAATCAATAAGATATTTTTGTGTATGATATGAGCTAGGAGTCAAGTTTAATTATTTTTGTATGGATAGTCAATTGGCTCAGCTCCATTTATTGAAATGACCAACTTTTAGCCACTGCACCACAGTGGCATTTTTATCATGAATCAAATGTCCATATATGCATGGGTCTGTTCTGGATTCTCTACTCTGATCCACTGGTCTTTTTGTTTATATTTACACCAGTACCACACTATCTTCATTACATTATATTTATAGTAAATTTTGATATCTAGTATGGCAAATTGTCCAACTTAGTTCTTCATGATTATCTTGGCCACACTTGGTCCTTTGCATTTCCATATTAATGTTATAATCAGTTTATTAATTTCTGCTTTTCGAAAACCTGTTGAATTTTCCTTGGCATTGCATCTGTAAATTTACAGAGCAGTTAATGGAGAACTAATGCCTTTGATATATTGAGTATTTCAATCCATGGATATTGTATATTCCTTCACTTATTTCTATCTTTTAAAACTCCTCTTAATAGTATATTATAGGCCTCTGTATTATACATCTTTCATTTATTCCTCAGTATTTGATTACTTTATGCTACTATAAATAACATTTTTTGTTATTTTAGTATTTTTAAAATTTTTTTATATTTTTATTTTATTTTTGAGAGAGAGAGTGTGAACAAGGAAGGGGCAGAGAGAGAGGGAGACACAGAATCTGAAGCAGCCTCCAGGCTCTGAGCTGTCACTGCAGAGCCCAACGTAGGGTTGGAACCCACCGACTGTGAGATCATGACCTGAGCTGAAGTCGGACGCTTAACCGACTGAGCCACCCAGGCGCCCCTATAAATAACATTTCTTAATGTCAGTTTATTGTGTGCATACAATTGATTTTTGAATAATAACCTTATACCCAGAAACCTTGCTAAACTCATGTATAGTAATACTTCATCCATAGATTATCTTGGATTTTCTTAGCGCCTTCATTTCCAATCCTTATTTCCTTTTCTTCCCTAAATGCACTAGTTGAACACCTTAATTCGCTGCTGAATAAAAGGAGTAATAGTGGACACCTTTGTTTTGTTCCTGATCTCAAAAGGCAAACTTGCGACTTTTCACCATTAATATCATGTTTGGTTTTATTGATTATCCTTTTAATCCTGATTTTCTTTCAAAAGTTTTTAAAAATTATTTAAATTAATTATTTTATTTTACTGAATGCTTTTCTGCATATCTTGAGATAAGCACATGACTTTCTCCATTAGTTTGTTGACATGCTGAATTGCATTCATTGTCTGTCTCATGTTAAGCTATTGCATTAACTGTCTACTTATGCGTTTGATGGTAAACTCCCATCTTTTACCCAGGAGAGATCATTTGTTAATAGGTAGTCCATTCCCTCTCTCCCTCAATCTCTCTCTTTCCATTTCAATCTCAATCTCTCTTTTCATCTCTCTCTCTCTCTCTCCACTACTCTCCCAGAAGGCTTTCCTTGGCCCTCACCTCCCCCATTTCTCGGGAAGATGGGCTTGTGGGAAATAAAACGCCAAGGCCTGGGGTCCATTACTCTGCCACGCCACCCTCTGGGAGCAGGGCCGCAAACACAAAAGACCAAATGTGAATTAATGTCTCACTAAGTCATTCTCCCCCCAGCTAGACTCTTGGCTTTGGATCCCCTTGATTGGAATTCCAGAAGAGCATTCATGGGCCTTCTGTCCAGAGACCCTGCCTCCACTTACTTTCCAAAGGGAAAGGGGTCCAAACCTCCCTGCCTTGCTGAGGCGAGTGGAGTGGCAGCCCTGGGTGGACAGGGTGGTTTGGGTTTAGAGCTGCGAGGACTGCCAAGGGGATTCTGGGTGCACAGACCCCCCCCCCTCATTGGAGACAGAATGGAAGAGACTTCCCGACTCCAAAGGTATAGGAAAGGTTCTCAGCAGGACAATAACAGAAACAAGACCATTTTGGCGGGCCAATTCTTTAGGTAATTTTATTCCCTGAGAGAGGAGGAGCCAAGAGTTTAAAAGGGGAAGGAAAAATGCCTTAGCAGGTCTGTTGTTCCTTGGGGCCCAGCATCCTGCCATCTTGTTTCTTCAAAGCCTTTCCTTCCCCATCCCCCCTGCCAGCCTGGGAATGAAAGCGGGTCCTGATGCCCCTCTGGCTGTGCAGGGGGCCCCTGTGGCGGGGGGACGGGGCTGCCAGGGCTCCCGGTGGAGCTGGGAGAAGTTCCTGAGCCGCCCGGACAGGGGAAGTGTGGATGCATCTCCCTGGCAGGGCTGCAAAGGGCTGTCTATCTGGCACTGTGGCCAAGGGACACCCCACAGTCGGGCAGCCATCCCGTGAGTCCAGGAAAGCCCCCTGGCCTGGGTCCCTGTCCCTGATGGCTCTCTCGGGGTTCCACTCACCTGGGAGCCTGGCTCCCCTCCACACATCCACCCAACTCACCCGCAGTCTGAGTTTACCTTCAGGTGGGTGGAGGAGGGTCTGGCCACTTTGGGGCTGGCGTGGACTCAAGCCCAGCCAGCGTCGGCTTCTGTGGTGAAAGCTGGTTTGTCTGGGGCTGCTCCCTCAAGCCCTTCTTGGAGCGAGGCCTAGAGGGCCACCTTGCCAAGACAAACTGTGGCCGCCGGGCGGAATGTGGTGGGGTGGCTGCCGAGCAGGGACAAACTTGGCAGGCCTCTCAATGGTGCCCTGGCCCGTTCCACAGCATGGAGCCCAAGGGTCAGGCCAGGCCAGGAGTAGTTACCAAGCCTGCTGGCCATCTCGCTGCCCTCTTGTTGAGGGAGGCAGGGACATCCCTCTCTCGGTCTCACCCGAAAACCTTCATCTCATGATGAAGCCTCAAGGTTGACAGTGTTCCTTCCAACCCGCTTCCTCGGGGGAGCGGTTCAGGAGCAGCTGGGGGAAGAGGGGTCGCGGGGAGCTGTTTGTGCCTGTGTGTGTGTGCCTGCGGTGTGTATGGGCAGAGTGGAGGCTGTCAGGGAAGGAGGAAGAATCCCAGCAAGGCCTCTTCTTCCTTCAGCAAAACCCAGTCTGGCGGGGCTACCCTGCCATTAGCACTTGCCATAGGCTTATTCCCTTGGGTGGGGTCCCCTGAAACAGAGCTGAGGTGGGGCCTTGGGTGCCGGTGAAAGAGCTCTCTGGAAGAAAGGCAGTGAGGGAGCAGGATAGAGCCGGGGAAGGAGCTAAGAATGTCTCAGCCGGAGTCTGACATGATCCCAACACAGAGCTCTGGAGCTTGAAGGTCACCATATTGGGCCCTCTCCGTGGCAAGGAGATAGCTCTAATTGCTCCGTGCCAGTCAGTCTTGGCCAGACTGCCAAAGTGGGGTGGAGTGTGTAACCCCAGTGTCAAGAGGCTCCCGTTTGGCTACGAGCAGTACTTAAGAGAAGTTGCAAGCTGTTAGCGGCCAACACCCCCTGCAGTCGAGGGATGGGTGTGCTGGCTGGTGAGAAGGTTCTGGGTGCGACACTGAGGGCCTCCACCATCCCCATCTCCAGCACCTAGAGAACAGGGGCTAGGCCCTCAGGGTACCAGTACTTCTCAGGTACAAGGACCCCCTTTCTATCTCAAGAGGGGCCCACGGGGAGCGTCCTGGGAGGCCCAGGGAGGGCAGATGAGGCCCACAGCACTCTGTAGCAGAGGCGGACACATGGCGAGCAGGGCCGTTGACTCCAGAGCGGTCACTCACTGGAAGGTGATGGGTGGTGTCTGCACCAACTCTGCTGACCCAGGGCCCCAGGTTGTTGGGACAGATGCCTGTACACGCTGTCCGCCTTCTTGTGCCTGTCCCCTCCCAGCCAGGGCCACCCAGGATGGACCCGGTTTCCCTTCTCCACCTCCCAGGTCAGGTGACCCTCAGTGGCTCCCGAGAGGAGGGGGAGGGCTGGCAGTCTTCCTAACCCTCTAGTCTCTTGCCAAGACATCGTCTTGGCATCAACGCCTGCTTCCCTTCTCATACTCAAGAGCCAATTTCCAAAACAAAACAAAAAACACTGAGCCTGCCCTGTTTCTTCCTCCAAACTGCTAAATCCAAAATGCACATGGAAAGGTAACTGTGTCCCGAAGTCAACTTTATCTCATGTTAAGATAGCCATGCCCGGGGCACCTGGCTGGCTCAGTCGGTGGGGCATGCTTGATCTCGGGGGTTGCAGATTCAAGCCCCACGTTGGGTGCACAGATGACTTGAAATTAAATCTTTATGGGGCGCCTGGGTGGCTCTGCCAGTTAAGTGTCTGACTTCGGCTCAGGTCATGATCCCACTGTTTGTGAGTTGGAGCCCTGCATCGGGCTCACTGCTGACAGCACAGAACCGATTGCAGATCTTCTGTCTCCCTCTGCCCCTCCCCTATGCTTTCTCTCTCCCTCTCCGTCTCTCTCCAAAATAAATAAGCATTTTATTAAAAGAAAATAGGAGAGGCAGAAACAGCTCAAGAAACAGAGACAATACAAGAGCCAACACTAGAAAGAGCCTACCTGACAGAACGCTACACAGATGTCTTCGTGTTGAATTTACACGTTAGTAAGTGCCCCATCCCCGCCCTTACAAGCTCTCCTCTGAATTGCAGGGGGCAAGGCGCCTAGAAACTACATTTTGTGGGCTTCTTTGCAAGCTGGGGTACAGGTGGATTTTTTGGAACATTTTATTTCAAACGTTGGGCGGAATCTCTACGCCCAACATGGGGCTCGAACTCACGACCCCGAGATCAAGAGCTGCATGTTCCACTGACTGAGCCAGGCAGGCGCCCCAGTTACAGTTAGATTTTGCCAGTGGATTTGGTAGGTTGGAGATTAGAAAGTGGAAGGAAGGAAGGAGTGATTCTGCTTCAGGCTCGAGGCACGGCAAGTGATCATGGCAAGTGGCTGCATATGGTCCGTAGCCCCATTTTTAGGTAAAACTCCTTTCTCTCTTTTTCTCATCCGGCTCTTCCCAAACCTTTATATCCAACATCCAGCATTAAAATTTCCTCTGCTTAAAATACCTACGTGGGCTATTTCCCTTGCAAGGCTGACACATAATTTGCCCTTCAGTCTGAATGAAACGAATCAAATCTTGCCATTTACCAACACTCTCCAAAGATGACTCGTGGCGCGAATTCTAATGTCCCCCGCTGTTCTGTCTTCCTCGCCTTGTCTCTCCCTCTTGGAGCTCTCTGTCCATACCCCACCCTTGGCTCACCTCCCACCTAACCTCCGAGAGCCTCGTATCTGTTGCATCCTTGACCTTTTGAATCCCTACCGAAATGCACTGCATTATTTCACACCCACGTATGTAATCCCATCTATGCTCCCACAGGGAACCCCAGAAGGTTCTCTTGACAGTGAGCCCCAAGAGGCTGGGAGGCCACTGTATATCCTGGACTCCTTGCATGTCTGGGCCTGAGCACTGCAGCGGTGCCTGCTGGAGAAGCTGATTGGCTGATGAGTTGCCCTGGCAAGCCTGAAGTTCAAGAAGAACCCAGGCGGGATCCTCTTTCCACACCATTTCTCCAGAAGTCACCTGATGCGAGCCTGGAGGCATGTGCGGAATAGAATCGGGAAGGAGGGGAAGCTGAGGCCTGGCCCAGGGGCAGGATCTGGGACACAGAGACCGCAGGAAGAATGCCTAAGGTACCAAGGAGCTTTAATGAGCCTCAGCACCTCTTCCCCAGCTCTGTCCCTCCCGCTTTCAGTTCTCGACAGGTCCAGCCTGCCCAAGGCTCCAGGCCTGTGTCACCTGGAGGTGTCAATTCTTCTGTCCCCTCAGGCGCTCCAGCCGCCTCCGAAGGTCTGGGGGCACCTTGGCCCCAGAGGCAAGCAGTTCGCGAAGTCTTTGTTTGGGAGTCTTGGTGAGGTGGAAATTGCAGGGCACTGGGCCCTCTTCAAAGGTGACCCGGCAGCTCCTCGTCACTGAGTGATAGCCCTCAGCACTGGCGGTCACCACATAGTCCCCTGGGGTCAGCAGGCGCCAGTAATCCCCGCCCCATGCTGACAAGAGTGAAGGGCAAGATCAGGATTCAGTAACCCTGCTTCCCACCCTGCCTAAAGCCCGCCCACACCTCCGCCATCCCCTCCCCGACACACCTGTCGTTACATCGTGGTTAATCCCGTCCACAGAAATGATAGCATCGGCAATCCCAAGCTCTGTGTCCTTGTCCCGCACAACTCCTGCGATGCCCATTCGCACCTGTGCGGGAAAAGGCTATCAAAACCCTTTTCCTTCCGCGTGACATGTGACCTTCACTTCATTGTCTGGCTCTGTTCACGGCAAACTTGAAGACGGCACATCTATGTTCCTAGGTAGCAATACTCGGGTAAAAGTAGCTCCCGATGCGGGCACCTGGGTGGCTCAGTCGGTTAAGCATCCAATTTCGGCTCTGGCCATGATCTCAATTTGCAAGTTCGAGCCCCACATCGGGCTCTCTGCTCTCAACACAGAGCCTGCTTTGGATCCTCTGTCCCCCTCTTTCTGCCCTTCCCCGGCTCCCACACATGCTCGCTCGCTCTCAAAAATAAATCTATGTATAAAAACAAACAAACAAACAAACAACTCCTGATGCATCTGAACAGGAGAACTACAAACACCTGGTGGGAAGGCCTATCTTTGGGCTTCCCCAAGTTCAGCGACACTTGACATAGGGCTTGTCATTCTGGGACCCTTGGAAACGACACTGACAGGGCCATTACAAGGGATATAGTTCCTGTGGGATGTGACGCGTCTAGGCCAGGGCACCCCTGTGCGCTTGCATAATGGGTCTTTTCTGGGAACGCTCTCCCCAGGCAGCTCTGGGACAGCTCCACGGACTCGGGTCTACACTGCCATGGGGTCTCCTCCTCCCAACTAATGTCTGACGCCGCCCTGCCGGCAAACTGCACTTCCGGTGCTCTGACCCTCCAAGTCCACCTGATGCCAAGCGTGACCCAAGGCCTCTGGGAGTCAGCACGCGCAGCGGGACACTGGGAGGCGCCCCCTGGTGGGAGCTGCCACCCTACACGGACAGCAGACCGCAGCAGGCGGGGGTGGGTGGACTCTCGGATCCTACCTGTTCCAGGTAGGTGAGGAGGGAATCCTTGTTGTTCTCCCACTCCTGGGCCAGCTCGCTCTCGTGCGGGAACTTGTCACAGGACAGCTCCACGGTGACCTCAAAGCAGTTGGTGTGCAGGTAGCTGAAGTCGTTCATACCTAGGGTTGCCACAGACACCGGAGCCTGAGTGGCGGGTGCGAGCCCCGCCCGCCTGGCGCCCTCCTCTGCCAGACTCGGCCCGGCGGGAGTCAGCACCGCTGTTCTGGGTGGGGTGAGCGGCCGGTCTTACGGGGACAGGGTTCGGGGGCCAGGGCTAGCTCTCCCCTAAGGCACGTACTCCCGGGGACCGTGTGCCAGTCGGCACCGTTGATGATGTTGCCGTGGGAGGAGAAGTCTTGGCTGTGGCAGGGTCGGCGGTCTGAGTCCTGCATGGCCCGGTTAGTGCCAGCATAGACGGTGCTGAGCCAGCGGAATACAGAGTCATCCGGGGTGGGCGTGAGTTCACGGGCAGCCCAAGGGGTCCGAGTCATGTCGAACGGGTAGGACACCACGAGCTCACCCCCGTGGAGGTTGGCGCTCAGCACAAAGGGTATCCTCTGCATCCAGTCGATCACTGCCCGTGTTTCAGGAGCCACCTAGTCACGGTCAGGCGGGGTGAGGTGGCACACAGAGACGAGAGCCCCCGGATGACCCCGCGGCCCTTCCCCAGAACACTCACAGTGGCGTTGGGCAGGGTGTAGTAAGTGGGCAGTGGCAGGTGATGGTTGGGGACCGTGTCGGGCACTAGCCCATCATCCTCTGCTTCCCAGAGTGGTGTGTTGAGGTCGGCGAAATTATGGTTGAGGTCAATGCCCTGCTGGTTCCAGCGGCCCTCTGCCCAGCCAACCAGCTCGGAGCCCTGCCAGGGAAGGGGCTTGTTCCAGCCAAGCAGGTACCAGCGCAGAAGGGGCAGGGTGGCCCTCATGCCAGGTGGCCTACCCGGTGAAAGGCGGTCTCATAACCGTCAGGGTTCATGGAGGGCAGCAGGTGAATGCGTGTCTCGGTGAGCAGCCGGGTCACCCGCGGGTCCCCTCGCAGGAACTCACGGCACAGGTACTGCATCAGGAACAGGACCAACTCCCGCCCCAGGGCCTCGTTGCCATGCATGCCGGCCACATAGCGCACCTCAGGCTCTCCTGGGAACACAGGGGCTCGACGTCGGCGCACGCCCACAACCCTTCCCTGTGCCTACCTCTCCCCGCCCAGAACCTGCCAGTACCCAGCTCATGCTGGCCAGGGTGGTCCGACATCTCCATCACATACAGCTTCAGGCCCTGGTAGCTCTTCCCAATGCTGTAGATGCGGGTGATGTTGGGGCACTGCTCGTTCACCTGCTTCATCAGCTGGCGGGGAGGGGGACGGGCAGAGTATAGCATGGCACAGGGCACGGGAGGATTGGACCCAAGGGTCAGACCACATGAGGCCACGGAAGGACTCACAAACACCAGTGGTGGCCCACACAGATGGGGCACCACTGCCCCGAGCAGGAGAGAAGCAATAGCAGCCCAGAAGGAAGGGTTAGAACGAGAGAAGTACCATCACTTCTTTCAATTGGGACGGGGTTTAGGGGTCAACGAGAAAGAAGGGCAGGACAGTGGGGGGAGTGGGGACATGAGGACAGTCACAGTAGGCTCCGCCCTGGTGGGAAGGGGACCTGAGCTAGGCAGCTCCTCCCTCCTGGGTCACAGGAGTTCCCGTCTGACCTTCCTCATGGCCTTGTAATTGTGATGCCGGAAGTCCAAAGGGTCAGAGGATGCCAGTGCAGGCGCCTTAGGGAACAGGTCATTAGGATCTGGCGGAGAATGAATTCATGGTAAAGGGGGAGTCTCTGGGGAGGTTTCCACCCTGCTCATCCAGGCCTCGTCTCACTGCCCACCTGAGACGGGGCAGGCCAGGATCTCTGCCCGGAGGCAGGAATCGCCTCCCTGGAGCCAGGTCTGGGGCAGCAGGCGAACGAAGCGGGCCACCTGGGGCTCAGGCAGGAGGTTCAGCACTGGCGTCTCGGGGTCTGAATTGGCAGGAAATACCTGGCGGCATCAATTCCATTAGTGGGACTGCTCAAAGCCCAGCAGCCTGGCCCAGAAGCAGAGGAGGAGCTCAGGCTTTCAAGCTCACCACCAAACCCACCCTGGTGGTCTGGCCTGGAGCCCTGAGCTCTCTGTCAAACACAGACCACCCGCCCACCCCTCCGACCCCCTGCCAACGGGCAGCTCTAGGCCACCAAGCTTTCTGGCTTGGTCACAGCTTATTAGACCAATATGGCCACATCAATGGGGAACAGCCAGTCCTAAAGCTGACCAGGGCCCTCGCTGTAGCCTGGTATAAAAAGGGGTCCATGGGATGGGAAAGCCAGTGTGGTGGGGAGGTAAGAAGCGGTGCAAGGGTCTGAGGCCCATCAGTAGGAAAGGGGGTTCCAGTAGGAAGCTGTAGCATGAAGTGGCACCCACCCTGCGGAGAAAGTATGTGGGGAGGAGGTAGGCATATTCCAAAGCAGCTTGGCCCCACGGCTGCATGGTGGCTGCCACGCATCTTGACAGCAACCCCCTTTCTCCTGGGATGCTGAGTGGGCATCTGTTCCTTGACCTCACAGGAGCCCCAGCCCAGCCCGTCAACCTGCAGTGGGCCCCGGCGCCCATGGGACCGCTCACCGCATCCATCCCACTGCTACGGTTCTTGCTCCCCCACCACGTCCGACTGTCATTGCTGAACTGGACCTTGTAGGATGTGACCCAGTCGTACCTGGCGGGAGTGGTGGGGAGAGATCATCGGTGGCTTCATGACTCCCCCACCCCAACCCTCCTGAGTCTGCCCATGACCTCCCGGACTGGCCTAGCCTGCCTCACCTCCAGACAGAGTTCCTGCCCTGTGTGATAATGCCCGAGAAGCGGGTGGGGTGCTTGGCATCCACCTGAAGCCATGGCTCAGCATCCTGGGGCTCTGCACACCAGGCCCCGTCATAGAGATCACCATCCTCCAGGCCTGACTGTGGGCACAGGATGTGGCGATCAGACCCAGGTGAACAGCCCAGGGTGGGGCAAGATGGGCGCTGGGGAGGGGTGGGGAAGCCGTTCCTCGGGGCTGCCCTGCTTGGAGCCCGGGCTGCTGACCTGGATGTTGAGCCGTCCCCGGTGTGGTCCCAGACCAAAGGACTGGCTGCTGGAGGCCTCGAGCTGGCTATCTGAAACTCGCAGGGACTCCAAGCCCAGAGGCGGACAGCCTGGGGCGGGGACAGAGCAGTGAAACGGGACCAGAGAGAGAGAGAGAGAGAGAGTGGTCACGGCAGGTAGGAAGCCGAGCCTACGCTTGCCCACGTGCTAGGCAAGCTGGGGCCATGCCTATGCCCATGAGGGCCAAAAGTGACATGACTATGTGGCCCGCGGGCTGCAAGTTCGGGCAGGGCCCCTGGGGGAACGCAGTACCTGGTTGCTTCTCCTCCGGGAGGTCAAGGGCTCCCGCAGGGGTGGTGATAGCTGGAGGCCTGGTAGTCACCAACGGTCTGGGTCTAGTTAGCTTCCTCCGTTTCTTTATAATGACCTTTTTCTTGATGAAGCGAATCCGGGCGCTCTGTTCTGAGGTCCCTGGAGGCACATCAGGGCAGGGAAGAATGGCAGATGGAGTGGTCTGCCAGCCCAGGAAAGCATGCAAGCCCACAGCAGCACCCCCTCACCTCAACTATCCAGGGACCTTAGTGTGGGCTTAGTCTGCCCCCCACCTGCCTCTCCCACCACTTTCTTGGCTCCTTCTTCTTGTCATGACTGCATGTTTGGCCGGCCTCAATGCTGACCCTCTCCAACGGAGAACTACACCCAGCCACTGGGAGCTATTTGGTTGCTCCAAAGAGCTGAGTCTTCAGTTCTTTATCTCCAGGCCTTTGCCTTGACTGACCCTCTCCATCATATCATCCACACTCTTGATCTTATTGCCTAATCCCCATTCTTTGAATTTCAGCCCAGGAGCCTTCCTTAGCTCCAGACTCCATCTCAGGCTCCAAAGCCTCAGTGCTGCTTTTATTGCTGCATCTGCCCTCTGGGCTGAGATGTTCTGTCCTTAGATTCACATCTGCCCGGGGGTTCAGGCTTTCCAGGGCTGGACCCGTGTCCTGCTCGCCCTCAGCACGGGGCCTGGAACACGGCGGATACCACCAGCTCCCCACCCACCCAGGCTCTACAGGTACCTCTAAAACGAGCTGGACATTTTCCTATCAGGTGACGCATGCTTTTCCACCTACTGTTTCTTCTTGACTGCTCTCTCTTTTTAGCGCTTCCTAATTCAGAGAGATCCACCCTTCAGGACCCAGTTTCACTTGCCTCCTCTGAGAAGCCTTCCTTGAGGGCCATCGCTTGCCTTCCTCCTCTACCTACTCGCTAATGAAAAGTCAGGAAGTCAGGCTGCCCGTCTCTCCCCTTCCCCTGATGGTGCCCCTTTCCTCCTGGCGGCCTCAGCAAAAGGCAGGCTCCCTTCCTTGCTCCGTTCTTTCCTTCCAGCCCCTGCCCTTGAGTTCTCTCCGTCCTAAGTCTAGCTCGACACCATTTAGTCTGGTGCTTTTGTCCATCCCTCTTTTCTCCCCTTCTCCTGGCTCTGGTCTCAGTTTCCTCATCTGTGAAAAGGGAAGGTTTGGGGCTGGAAGAGGCAGCATCTTACTGCCTCCAGTCCCAGGACCGCTGACTCGGTCTGGCCGGGAACTGAGGCTGCTGAGTCAGCAGCCGTAACAAGGGGCAGGGAGGGGAAAAAGGGAGGAGTGTGTGGGTTTGTGCGTGTGTGTGTGTGTGCGCGCGCGCGCGCGTGCGCGCGCTGGGGAAGGGTCGGCACACAAGCTCCAGGCAGGGAGTGTGTGAGCGTGAGTGCGTGTGCGTGCGTGCGTGTGTGTGTGTGTGTGTGTGTGTGTGTTTCGGGGAGTCGGAGAAGGGTCGGCACAGTGGGCCGGGGTAGGGTAACCGACTAGCCCGAGAAGCGGGCCCTCGGTCCGGGCGCTCACCATTATCCTTCCCCGAGGGCGGCTGTGCCGGGCTGCTACTCGGGGCCAGGGTCGAGACCGGGGCCTTGGTGGTAGCGGGCGGCGCGAGGTCCGGCACGGAGGTGCCGGGCGTCCCCAGACCTAGATCGACGGCGGGCGCAAAGGTGGCCAAGGCGAGCAGGAGACCCCACATGGCTGAGTCAAAGGTGCGGATGCGCGGGCCCCGCTGCGGTCGGTGGATTTGTCTCTTCCTGCCCGGTGCTCGGGAGCCCCCCGCCCCTTCCTGCTGCGGCCGCACGCCCCCTGTGCCTCCGGCCCGCCCACCGCACGCCCGCGGGCCTTGGACCCGGGAGGGGAGGGGAGGGGAGGGGAGGGGAGGGGAGGACAAGGCAGGGCAGGGCCCGGGCGTTGCTCGCTGGACAGACCCCGGAGCGGCGGACTGGGGTCTCCGCACCCACCGACCCTGCCCCGCCCCCTCCGGCCGTGCCGAGCTCACCCGCCCCGCGGGTGCGCTGCCGTCTGTAGTCTGCACACCCCCTCGGCACCCCCGATTCCACTTAATCCTGCGAGGCGCCCGCCCCACAGTGGGCACCTACTTTGCATCACACACCATGCCAGGCACTTTGCACACGGCCTCTCAATCGAACCTCATTTTACCAACTGGGAAACTGAGGCTCAGAGCGCCCAACTGACTTGGCCAAGGTAGCAAAGCTGAGAACTTTGGGGAGGAAACTACTACCGGAGAGGGAAATCCATCTAGAATCAGAGGCCCCCTGCCAGGGCGGATGGGACGGAAAGAAGAGGGGAAACTGAGGCGCGGGGTGAGGCGGGGGCGGTGAGGCGGGGAGGACTAGCCCTCCAGGAATCCTTCCGAAAGACAAGGGGCCCAGCCAGAGGCGGTGCTTCCCATCGCCATCCCCTTCTCCGGCCCCGCCTCTCTTCTCTCTTCCTTCCCCTGCCCTCCCCTACTCCTTTGCTCACCCGGCTGCCACGTTCTGGGGTTACATAATCCGAGAAGAGGAGCGAGAGCCGCGATACCCGGAGGGTTGGGGCCGTGGGTGGAGGGGCCGAGGCCTGAGGCGCGCGCCTCTGGCCCTCCCTGCTGCCTTCCCCACCCCCACCTCATTCTCCTCCTGGGGCCAGCAGCCCGGGGTCTCTTGCTGGCTGGTTGCCCCCATCCCGATCCAGGGATTCCAGAGCGCAGGCCCTTTCGCATTCCCGCTCCCCAGCCCCCCTCTGACTCCCCCACACCAGATCGCCTCCCAGAAGGAAGGAAATGCGTCCACTGGGCGCCTCTGGCCACTGTTTTGTCTTTGCAAGGAGCCCGCCAGAGATACAGCCATCCCCACCTAAGAAGCGATGCCCAGAGGTGGCCAGGAATCCTCTGGAGTGTATGCCGCCCTGAGCGAATATTGTTTGCAGCGCCTCTATATAAACAATTTGAATCATCCCAAATCATTCTGGCGGCCTGATCTCACATGATCCCTCCAAAGAAATACCACCCCCCACCCGATACCTCTGGAACTGACCCAACACCAACGGCAGAATCACGTCCTGAAGCCCCTCAAGGCATCTGCCCCAACCCAAGCATACTGGGTAGAGAGACCCCTCAGCGGGAGTAACCAGGTCAGGGCCTTCGGGGTCTGGCTTCTGCCTTGGAGCGCCAGCCTCGGCAGCACTGCTAGGTCCCAGGCAAGAGGGAGGATTAGAAAAACTCAAGGTAGGACGACGAACCCAAGGGTCCCTGAGGCGTGGGGCTGGCCAAGTCAGGGGCAGAAAGACACTACTGTACACTGAGGCTTCTCGGGGTGGGAGGTCAGCACAGGCTCCCGAGGAGCTAGAAGTGGGTCTGAACGGGCCCTGAAGGCTGCTCCCCCTTCCTCCAAAGCCCACTCTGGCCACTTCTCTTTCTCTGGCCCCAACCTCACCCAAGTTTGATAGGTGGGTGTGAGGGGCCACCCAGCTAGGACATCTCAACCTTCTGAGGCTCCCACCCACAGTTAAATCAGGTCAAGTTCCAGGGCATCTGGGTAGTGCAGTGGGTTAAAGTTGAACTCTTGGCTTGGCTTAGGTTATGATCTCATGGTTAGGGAGTTCCAGCCCATCTAGGGATTGGTGGTAGTGAATGCTTGGGATTCTCTCTCCCTCTCTCTGCCCCTCCCCCACTTGTATATTTTCTCTCTCTCTCCCTCCCTCTCTCTCTTTCAAAATTAAAAAAAAAAAATGGGGGGGGGTGCCTGGGTGGCTCAGTCACTTAAATGTCCGACTTCTGCTCAGGTCATGATTTCCCGGTTCCTGGGTTCGAGCCCCGCGTCAGGCTCTGTGCTGACAGCTCAGAGCCTGGAGAATGTTTCGGATTCTGTGTCTCCCTCTCTCTCTGACCCTCCCCTGCTCATGCTGTCTCTCTCTCTCTCTCTCTCTCTCTCTCTCAGAAATAAATAAAATATTAAAAAAAAATTTTTTTATTTTTTAAATTTGGTCAAAGTGCTCCTGGCTTAAGCCCCTAGGGCATTCACCTGCAAGGTCCTTCATGGCAAGGTTCTTCCCTACCCACACCTTTCCCCTCTCATCACCCTGGGCTCTTCTCCTGGCTCATATTCCTCCAGCCACGCTGGCGTTCTAGCAGTCCCTTCAACACACTGGCCCCATCCAGCCTCAGGGCCTTTGCACTGGTTCACCAGGTTTGCCTCCTCAGTCTACAGATTGCTTTTCAGTATCACCTGTTTCCAAAAAGCCTTTGCTGACCATTCTGATGAAAGCAAGCCTCATCCTCTACACACACTCTTTCCCCTCACCCGTTTTATTATTGTCTTCAAGGCACTCAACACTATTTGAGATTATCTTGTTTTATTATGTGTTCACTGCCTGGGTCCCCACCTCCAACACAGGTAACCCACACTCCAGAAGAGCTTCTTATACCCAAATGTTCACAGCTACACCTCAGGACCTAGAACAACACTAGTCAGTGCTCTAAAAGTATCTGTGTAAGGGAGCCTGGGTGACTCAGTCGGTTGGGCGTCCGACTTAAGCTCAGGTCATGATCTTGCGGTTAGTGGGTTCGAGTCCTGCATCAGACTCTGTGCTGATCGCTCAGAGCCTGGGGGCCTGCTTCGGAATCTGTGTCTCCCTCTCTCTCTGACCCTCCCCTGCTCATGCTCTGTCTCTCAAAAATAAACATTTTTTTAAAAAGTACCTGTGTAATATCTTCAAGGTTAGAGAGGCCTTGACCAAGTGGGGCTGAGGAAATGGACTCTCCCCAACAGTGCAAGTTTCTGTAGGAAAGAGATGGCAGACCACGAACTGGGGCACATGTCCCCGAAGGAACTGGCCCGATGGGGCATGCTAGCCACCCCTGGCTGATCCCTCAGAGGCTCAGATCTGTGGGATGCTGGTACCTCTTGTGTCCCCTGTGTTCCCTCATCCTTCTCATCTCTTACCCCTTGCCTTTCTGACCTGTGACTACCTTCGGGGCCACTTCGTGTCCCTCCATGCTCCCTGAGCCCCTCAGATCCTTCTTATGCTCCTTCATTAGTTCCTCATCCCCACACGTATGCTCCCAGATCGGCTGCTGCCTTTGGCCCTTGTCACTTGGTTTCCTGGGCTGCAAGGGTGCCAAGCCTGGAGGCAGGTTCTAGAGGCACAGCTCCAAGGCTATAGCAGCAGGTTTGCACTCAGGGGCTCGCAGCCAGGTCTCTAACTCCGGGAGCCATGTGGAGAATTTTCACCACCTCATGAGGGCGAGGATATGATGCAAAGCCCAAGCGAGCAGGACTGAGCTGTACCGGCTGGAGACAGCTGCCCCAAAGAGATTTGGGCTTAAGGGGTGACCTGGGAATCCCCTGCCGGCTCCCCAGGGCGGTCAGGTGGCTGGAGGTGGAGAGGAGAGCTGACATTGGCACCACGCAGGCTTAATTTCACACCCACCTCCGCTGTTTATTTTGTGTGGGTATCCTTGGACAATCATGTGCTCTGTGAGCCTCTGTTTCCTCATCTATAAAATGGGGACAATATCTTAGCCTCGGGGTTTTTGCGATGAAGTGAGATAATAAGTGGTTCCCAGGGGCTGCTAAGCTCACCAGGTGAACTAAGGGTGGGAAAACAGCTTAATACAGCCCTCTTATCCCCACACACATGGATGGAATAAATCAAGAAAAGAGGCCATGTGTCTGGCTGCACAGGTAGAGAAGCAGTGGAATCTACTCCCTGGTGCTGGGGCACAACTCTGTATTAAGTGCTCTCCCTATGATGCAGGTGAGCCTTGATGAGAGACTCCCTCCCATGGCACCTCCATGCACTGGGAGGCATCTCCCCACATACCCATCCTTTGCTCACCACCTCTTCCCCCCCCCCTCCCCGCCCATCTCTCTTTTGCACATCAATGTCTTTGAGAGCCCTCCTTCTCAAAGTGTGGCTGAGGACCAAGGGCACCAGCATCCCCTGGGAGCTTGTTAGAAATGCTGAATCCCAACCCCAGACCTACTGCATCAGAATCTGCATTTTAACAAGATCCCAAGAGGATTCAACCCCAGGAGGTTCATGTGCACATTAAAGGCTGAGAAGCACTAGATGGAGATTTAGAGCACCTCCATCTAAAAATGCATGAGCTCCACAACTTTCAAGTTTGATGGTGTTTGATGCTGTCACTGGAATTCTTATCTCAAGCTACAAGAGCACATCCATGTAACGTGTGGAAATTGGTATTTCATTCATCCTGGGAGGGTATATTCCTGATCTCTACAGTATGACCCTGTATTCATTTTCTTTATTTTTAACTAAATCATTTTAACCACAATACTAGAGGATATAGTTTTAAAGGTAAATCACATTGAGGCTTGCAACAGAAGACTCTTCTATTCTTCTCCATTCCCAGGTCAATCACTTTTAATTCTGTTATTTCTCCTTGTATTTATCTCTCTGCTTCTAGTGCTACATAGAATTTTTCTACGTCTAGATGTCATCTGTAGATTTTCTGCTATGGAATTAAGGATTTAGGTCCTCTACCACCCTCCCCTACACATATATTCAAGTACATAACGCACTCCTTCCATCCTCCCAAAGAGCTAAATCACGGGGATGGATATTCGGTGCTGATATTATGGCCATGTAAATATTATTGTTCAGCTTTTTGAGTTCCCTGGAGTTAGCAATTACTTTGTTTTATCATTTGCTTGGTTTTCTGGGCACCAATTGATAATTTAATCCCAAAGCAACCAACAGAACTGAACATTTATTTTGAACATAGCTAAAGACCACAGATAATCAATCTCATTTTCTTCTGGAGACATCCCTTCTGGAGCATCTTGCTTTTGAGCCCAGGCTGGCTTGTTTGCTCTCTTCATTTGGAAGCACAGCTGCCATCCTGAGCCTTTCTCATCATTGCTTTCCTGTGTTTAGCTTCATTTCTTTAATCTCATATTGTCCTCTTGGTTTAATGCCTGATTTTGCTAAATCACATCCTCTGATAGTTTTCTTTCTAGGAAAGATGTGTGAGGTCAAATTTTTGAGAACCTGCATGGCTTAAAATATCTTGATTCTATTCTCATACATGATAATCATTTGGACAGATACATGTTTTTAGGTTGGAAGTAATCTTCCCTCAGAATTTTGCAGGCATTGCTTTATTACTCTTGGAAGAACCAGAGTAATAACAATCAGTGAATGGTCCCAAGGGCCAGCAGCATTGGCTCTATGAGCTGTTGAGCCCATCACTACCAAAGATGTCAAGTGTACCAGGCTTGAGTCTTTGGACAGGGCCCACTGGAGGCAGATATACCATCTGGTTCTTTTTTATGTTTATTTATTTTAAGAGAGAGAGAGAGAGACAGAGAGAGAGAGAGAGAGAGAGAGACCATGCACATATGCACATGAAAGCAGGGGAGGGGCAGAGAGAGAGGGAGAGTAAGAATCCCAAGCTGTCAGCACAGAGCCTGACACAGGACTTGATCCCATGAACTGTGGGATCATGACCTTGGCCGATATCGAGAATCTAGATGCTTAACTGACTGAGTCATCCAGGCAACCCTGATGCCTGATACTTGTTGTCTCCTCCCTTAGGGGCTCTACAGTCATTGTCCCTGTCTTCTCCCCTCCCCCATCAGTTTCCTTCCAAGTATAGTGTATGGACACGGATTCTATTCCTAGTTATGATCCACTTCCACTCTTGTCTCTCAAGTCACTGAACTGAGATGTGCTGGAACTTCTGTAACCACCAGCCATTTACAGGCTCTCATGGGAATAGGTTTCTTTTTCAGATGATCAATCCCTTCCTTATCTGTTCATTTTCCTTAATTTCATTCTCAGAGGGTACCTTTAACCTCCAGTTTGGGGGTTACTATGATGTGGCCCTCTTACATTCACATTATCTATGCCATTTCTGGAATCCCAGTATCTGGAACACTTCCCACAAACCATAGAGCTTAGCAACAGCCCCCCGGTGCCCCATCCCTCAGCAGTCTGGTGGGACCACAGCCCCAGAAAGCGTAGGGTACTTCCTGGCAGAGCCTCTTTCTGCACTTCAGGGCTGCGGTCCTGAAAATTCCCCCACAAGGGCCCACAGGCATCACCCAGCTCTCAGGGGAGAGAGAGCTGCCGACAGGAAGACTGAATGATTGCCCCCTAGACACACAGCTCTGGGAACCCACAGGATAAAGAAAGCAGCCCTTCCTCTCTTGCTCAGCTGCTCATGTGACAATGGGGTTAGAATGCCTTCCTGGTAACTCAGATCCCCACGGTGGGGCCTAAAACAGAGAATTCCCAAAGGCAAGAAGATGAATCTTCATTCTCAGAAATCGCTGACTCCCTTCTGACTAAGCCCCACCTAAGCTTATGAGACCAAAGCCAGCAGCAGCCCTCTCTCTACCCTGGGGCCCCACCTGGCCATAGGTCACAATGCCCCAGCTGCCCAGTCCTGGAAAAACGGACTGCAAGGTGAGGAGGGTTTGGCGGATGGGTGTGTGGGGAGGGGGAGATTCCCACCGAGTTCACCCTTGAGTGTTTACCAGGGCCTCCCTCCCTCCCACACTCCCTCCGACATCAGTCCTTCCTGTCAACTCCACCTCCCTCCATGACCCAGCTCTGTTTACGCAGGCCCAAAGCCCTGGCTCACCCTACCCCGGTCCCTCCCAGGGGCCTGGGTGCTAGGGAGGGGTCGTGGAGTCCAGCGGGTCCATGTATGTCCCCCGGGGGCCTAACCTGGCCCAGCTCCTCGACAGTGTCCTGGGGCTAGGGGCACTGGGGCTGACAATTCGGGCAGTCTTTTCCACGCCTGGCCCAGCCTTGCTGCTGCTGCTGCTCCTGGTCAGCTTCCTGGCCTTCGACCTGCTCCACTGGTAAGTGTGCACGAGCCTGGCAGGCACACAAGTGTAGGCAGGCGAGCAAGTGGTCAAGTTCTTGGAGCCCAGCGGCCACCTTCTCTCCCCGCAGGCCCGCAGATGCCCCGGAGCCACAGCACACACTTCTCACGGGAAGCCAGAGTCAGGGGGCCGGTGAGGGTCCAGGACGGCAGGAGGCTGTATTCCTATCTAGGGCAGTGGTCCCAGGAAGACTCAGCCCCCAGGAGGCTCTGCTACTGCTGCTCCTGGGCCTGGGGCTGCTCCTGGGAGCCCGTGGTGTGCCCTTGGCCCTGCTTGGCCTGGCTTTCTGCCTCCTTCCTTGGGTCTGAGTGCCCTCCAGAAATACACTGGCCATGCTGCTTCCCCGGGTCTCCTTTCCTCCATCCCGGCCTGGGCAGGCAGGAGAATACCCTTGAACTCAGGGGACCTCTGGACCCACAATATGGACAGTGGACACCTGGGTCTGAGTCCGAGGACAGCGATAGAAGGTGAGCTAAGGGACAGGGAGCTCAGGGAAGGATGTGGCAGCCGTTTCCGAGCTTGTGGGTTGGGGTTGGCCATTCTGGCCTCCTCTGTGGTTCTAGAGAATGAGCGTCCAGAAAGACTTACAGGAGAGCAGAGTGGGACTGGATACAGGGTAGCAGGGTAAGAACAGGGACCCCGAGAGAGCTTCCCGTGGGAAAGCATGGGGATCTACATCTGTGGGCTCAGCCCAAGCCCCTGCCAGCCTGGAAGGGCCACGGAGAGCTGTGCAGTGGCTCTTCTCTTGGCTGGACCCCACCCTCTCCCGGGTCACAATGGGGATCCCTAGGGGAGGGTGGGGGTGAGTGACAGCGGGGGCTCGACTCTGGCTGCCAGGCGTCCTGAGCGCGGCAGGAAGCAACATGACTTAGGGGTCTCTGCCCAGAGGTAAGACCTAAGCCCCGGTTCAAAGCCCCACCCCGCCCACGCTGGTACCCACCTGACCCCAGCACCCCCACCTGCCCTGAGGTCCCAGGCCTCTCCAGGGCGGCTTCTGCAGCTGGCCTGGCCCTCTCCCCAGGTGCACCGGGCATGATGCAGCAGCCGCAAGTGGAGACAGATGCCATCGGGGCCGGCGAGGGGCCGCAGCGGGCACTGCCCTGGTCGGCCTGGGTCACGCGGCAGGGCTGGCTGCGCTGGTGCATGTGCCGTGTGCCTCAGAGATGGGCCCAGTGGTGGACCACATCGGGCTGGCGGCAACCCCTTCAGCGTGTGCTGTGGGGTCTGGAGGGGATCCTCTACCTGCTGCTGTCGCTGATGCTGTGCCACGCGCTCTTCACCACTGGCTCCTACCTGCTGAGCTCCCTGTGGCCTGTCGCGGCCGCCGCGTGGCGCCACCTGCTGCCAGCTCTTCTGCTGCTGGTGCTCAGCGCCCTCCCAGCCGTGCTCTTCACCGCCTCCTTCCTGCTGCTTTTCTCCACGCTGCTGAGCCTCCTGGGCCTGCTCACCTCCATGTCTCACGCAGACTTCGCCCAGGACTTGGACCAATAGAAGGGCAACCCCATCCCGCTGCCTGTGTCTGTTGAGCCCTGTCCTAGGGCCTGAGCCCTGGGGAGGGGGAGGGCAGTGGCCTCAGCAGGCCCGGGACACCCAGACCCTAGCACTGCTCGGGCCACGTGTACTGTTGCTAGAGCCTGCAGGGTAGACTGGCCTGACCTCCGGGCACCTCCCTCAAGCCGATGCTGCAGGTACTTGGTGTGGGGCGTCAGGGACTTTGACAAGAAGGAACAGGGCAGAAGGATTAACCAGGGGCAGAGCCGGGCCAAGCCATCTAGAGCTCCCACCCGAGCAGAGTGATACTGCTAGGGCTCCCGTAGCGACTGGCGGCATCTTTTTTCTTGCAGGTGCTCAGCTGTCTCAGCTGCAGACTCACTGAGAATTCCTAGCTTGGTATTCCTCACGCTAACCCCCTCTTTCCACTTCCTCAGGCTCCAGAAAGGGCCCGCGGTTGGAAAGCTGGCTGAGAGAGGGCTGGCCAGAACCCCCATGAGGCCTCAACTAACTCACTTCCCAGTCTTTTCTGCCCAGGCACTCCCCACTTCCTAGACTTCCTACCTTCTGCCTCAGTGCACATTCCCAAGTGGGCCAGCTAGGGTAGTGAGGATCCCAGAGCGTACCTACTCTCAGATTCCTAAGGTCTGTTATTGAAAAATGAACAAGAAGTCCCATTTCCCCACTTATACAATGTGTGGCCATGGCCAGTTAATTCTTTTGCACCTCAGTGGTCAGTGGGTCTCAACCTCGACCCGGGGTTGGTGTGAGTCAAAGGCAATACCTTGTGTGTGAAGTACTTTGTAAAAGCCAGAAAACTACAAGATATTGTACTGAACTATTAGAAAAGTCTGTAGGCTCAAAAGGCCTTCTGACCTTGAAGGTGGTTGAATGAGAAGGAAGCTTCCCTAGGCCTTCAGAGAAATGCTCTGTGACGGATACACGTTTGGCCCCCCAGTGGTTAAACAGGGATGGATGGGTGTGGACAAGATGTAAAAGGCCGTGTGACATGAAATCTCAAAATGTGCAGGTGTTGAACTCTTCTGATTGTGAAATGCCTGGGGCTGGGGTTTGGTGCCAGGGGATGCTTGGACAGCTGTGTGAGTGGGGGAGAGCATAGCCCATGGGTTTCTAAAGCTGTCCCAATGAGCTGCTCACGGTGCCAGGAAGATCTTGGAACGCGGCATCCCTTCATGTCCAGCATGTCGGCCATTCATATATCCGCTAACCCTCCAAACAAAACAGTGACCTGTCATGACGAAGTAAGGCACGTGGTAGACAGCGCTCATCATCCACCTGACGCCTACCCAGTTCCTGACCCTCCCTGTCTTCTACCCAGTCCTGACCGCATTGCCTATCTAAGCCTAAAATTTCTGCTCCTGAAGCCCCAGAACCTAAGTTCCCATCTCTTGCCACCTGAACATTGAGGCCACAGGCACCACCCCTAGAATATGTTTATTTTTGTTAAAGCCCATTTGCTGTGGAGTTTCATGACCATGCAGGCCACTGGTCATATGCTTTCAGCATCGATGCCCGAAACTCCAGGCACGGTCGTTCCTTCCCATTTCCTTGTGGTCCTCCCTCAGGTGTGGCCTGCGAGTGAGGACAAGGTAGGACACGAAGGTTGGATAACCCGTGGTTAGCATAGGCTCTGGCGTATCAGCGGAGGATGGGTCTGAATCCCAGCACCGTTGCTTTCTAGCTCCACGGCCTTTCTGGAAATTGCTACACCTTTTTGAACTTCATTTTCCCCAAGGGTAAAATCAAGGCAAGAACACCTGTTTTAGAGCCCCTGTCCTGGACTAACTCTTCACGCCACAAACTGTAGCTACGCTGTCCTATTTTAGAGATAGGAAGTCGGGCTCAGGGTGGCCACTTGCCAGTGGCCAAGCCAGCTTGTCTGAATCCTAGTTCACCCTAACAGGGAAAGAGATGGGGGAAATACAACCTAACTGAAGACCCGGGGGCTTCTCAATGCCTGTTCTTTTTTTTTTTTAATTTTTTTTTTTTTATTTATTTCTAGGAGAGGGAGAGAGAGACAGCGTGAGCAGGGGAGGGTCAGAGAGAGAGGGAGTCACAGACTGAAGCAGGCTCCAGGCTCTGAGCTGGCAGTCAGCACAGAGCCTGACACGGGGCTCGAACCCACGAACTGTGAGATCATGACCTAAGCGAAAGTCGGACGCCTAACCGACTAAGCCACCCAGGCGCCCCTCTCAATGCCTGTTCTTAAAAGCTCCTGTCAGAGATAAAGCCAGGATGCCAGTCTTGGGTCTGTCATTGACTGGGCTGTGCATAGCTGACCAGGGTCATGACTTCAGAGCCTTGGGGCCATTCTGTTTAAAGGAAAGAGGACATTTTGGCCCAGACCACGCACACTGCGGGAGAAGGGAGAGGAAGAACGTGGACAGGAGCAAGGAGAAGGCCTTCTTCCCTTCCCCACATAAATATGTACCTTCTACCCTTCTGCTCTGCTGGTATAGGATACGGTGATACAGCCAGACTGGAGAGCTGATGGGTAATATTTATCAAATTAGATCAACACGTACCCTGTGACCCAGCAATTCAAAATGAATTCTCACAGAGGCCCTTAAGGGCCTTGCTTCTCAATGTGTGGTCCCACTGGGACCAGCAATGTAGGTATCGCCTGGAAACCGGCTAGAAATGCAGAGTGCCAGGCCCCACCCCAGGCTTGCTGACTCAGAGCCTGCATTTTAACGAGATCTCGAGCAATACATACGGAAACAAACGTTTGAGAAGCATTGCACAAGAAGGGATATGTTTGAGAGCAAGGATTAGACTTTAGGTGGTGGCAGGAGATGGGAAAAATAAAATCTAGTGCATGAGCACAGCCGTTAGAAGAGACACCTACACGTATTGATCTAGAAATCCTAGCACTGAGTGAAAAGAAGCTTGAGTGAGAAATAATACAATCCTTTTGGCACAAAGTTAAAATGCATGCCAGCAAAACCACCTTTATTTTCTCCCTGAGGACATGTAATAACGTAAGATCAGCAGAATGGAATGACTAACTCTAGGGGCCGGTGAAGGGGAGTGCAATATACAGATAAAAGGGAAAAATGGGAGGGACCTTACAGAGATGAAAGAAAAATGATAATAGGAATATAATACCTGGGATTTCTTTAAATGGAGACAAAATCATCCATTTAGAGTTAAAAGACTGAAACTGTAAGCCTGGGGAGAGAGTGAACTGTGCTGGAATGAAGGAGTTCTAGGCCTTTCAAGTTTGGGCCATCAAGGAAGAGCTGCCCCACTGGCCTGAGTGACCCAGATGACCGGGTCGGTAGGTATCTTTGTCTGGCCTCCCCCAGTTCCCCCCCTGCAGTCTGCTTTGATGGGGTGGGGGTGGGAGTTGGGACCCAGTAACCTCAGAAAGATAACCAGACCTGTCGGGGGCAGGAGGGACAGGAGCAGATGCGTCAGCCGCGGGGGTGGTCACGTCTAAGAGAGCAGAGAAGGATCCACAGCGGCATACACAGCCCACAGGTGGGGGTGGGGGTTGGGGGGTGGGGTGAGGGTGGGGGTCGGCACCTAGGACAACCTTCAGCCCCACCCCAAGTGCAGAGGCGAAGTGTACGAGCGGCCGGACGCGGAGGGTCCCAGAGGGCGGTGTCAAAGGGCTCAGGAAGCGGGGACAACGCTCGAGACGGTTGTCAGTGGCCACCCTGGGGTAGGTGAGGGGTCCATCGAAGGAGGAGGCTGTGGGGCGCCAGGGGATCCCTAAGGGCCAGCTGCGGGAAGCCGAGAGGGGGGGGCTCTCCCTCAGATTCATGGGTGCAGGGTAAAGTGTGTCCAGGCTCGCAGATATGGGCAGCGGCTGTCCTCACCGAGAGGCCACAGAGGAGGAGGGAGCAGAGCGGATTCTGCAGGGAGGTGGGGGGGGGCGGGAAGGGGGAGAGCGGCCGGCGCCGCTTAGGGAGGTCAGGCCGGGAGCAGGAGCCAGGTGTGCCGCACAGCGCAATTCGATAGGCTCAGGTGCGCGCGAAAGGGGCGGGGGTGACTGACGGCTGGAGGGCGTCGCATCAGGTGCATTGACCTTGGGCGCAGAGTGGGGCGGGCAAGGCCTGAGGCTGGTAAGGAAACCCTGAGCCAAGCGGGGGCTCGGAGGGCTGTGGGCACCCACAAAGGGAATGTGCTAGCCATCCGGAAAGTCGACAACCCCCGGAATCGCCTCTTGTGGAGCAGGTGACCGACGATGCAAGGCGCGCCCCCTAGCGGATATCTCCTCCTGGCAGCGAAGAGTAGGGTTTGGTTGGGGCGTGGGGAGGAAGGGAGAGGGGTCTCATTGGCCGGAACACTGGCACTGGGGGCGAGGGTAGATCCCAGGATCAGGTAGGGGCATCTTCGGCCCACTGTCATCACAGTAAGGGCTTCGTTGACTCCTCACCTCTTTCTCCAAATCTCCAGCCTGGGTACGCCAGCCTTTGGAAACCCAGGGGCATCAAGCGCAGAGCTCGTGAGAATCCTGGAGAAGGAAGGGTCCAGTCTGGCTGGCTTCACTGTGTCACGGACTCCCAGCCCAGTCTATTATCCCATCCCTCCTGGGGTAAAGGGCTTTTTTTTTTTTTTTTTTTTTTTTTTTTTTGGAAGGTTTTGTCAGGGTCTGGATGCAACCAGTTTTAAACAAATTTTTTTTCCTGCTGAGCAAACATCTGTACTCTGGGTCTTGCTTCCTTTACTCTGTCTTCTTACCTTTCAAATATTTGCCATCTAAAAAAATAAAATAACTTGATTTAAGATTTGTTGCTTCTACCATATTTTCTGGCCTATGTCTTATAAATACCTAACAAAAACCCCACAATATTTAAAATTAGTATGTGATACTGCGTACTTGCAAAATACTTGTAACATGTATGAAAGCAGCAAGTCCTCTAAGCTGAAGGGTACCACATCCATCTAAAAGCCACAAGTTTTGGGGCGCCTGGGTGGCTTAGCCGGTTAAGCGTCCGACTTTCGCTCAGGTCATGATCTCACGGTTCGTGGGTTCGAGCCCCG